TCCCGGCCTGGGGACAGAACCTATTGTCTTCCTCGCTGTCTTTAAACTACCTTTTTAATGTATACATGTTCGGGGCTGTCGGGTTACGTGATCTAGTGACTCTAATACCGACATGTTTCAGAACGGCCATGATTACATCAGTGGCTATAGCGCCCAGCTGTTCGTTCTGTCCAAGTTACTCCAGGGCATGGCTTTTGAAGTTAAAGGTCCTTAGCTATACACGTAATAAGACTTTATATGACCACGGACTAAGATTTAATCTTAAATGCTATTCCGTGACATAACTTTGCCATTGGATGTTTTGATCATATTTTTGTTTGTTTTACGTCATCGCAATAATTAAGGTCACGCGCGTGGGGACGGTGTCAACGGATGATTGTTCCACTAAACGCTACTTCAAAGTACCATCTCGCTAAAATGTCGTAAACAGGGCCCGTAGTCATGGAACCGTTCTCATACTCAAGCATTGATTTTGGGCGCAAGCCTTATTTCTTGGTCCTGTTATAAATGAATAAAAGACCTTATTTTGTCACAGTTTGAAAAATTGAAGAGACTTATAGGCTGATCATGTTTTCAATATTTACTGTACATTTGTCGTGATGGAAGTGAGTTACATGTACCAAAGGTAGGTTTGAGTATAGAATCCATGCTTGAGCCTGGACACGGTTTCCTGAATACGGGAACTGGACACGTAAGCATGACACTCTGCCCGGAAATATCGTTCTGTTAACAGGCTAACCATCGTTTGGTACGGCCCACTTCCTTCTGATGACGTCATATATGTACACAGAGACGGGCAGAGCGATTGATATAGCTATTACAAACACATTGTATTGGTATCTAGTATCTACACGTACAATCGCTGTATACCACGTGGTACATGTAAATAATCCTACGTCGATTACGTATTTCTTTGTCATTCAATGATTAAAGAACTTCTCATGACTAAAATGTACATGTATACGATTGTAGATGTTATGAAATCTATATTTTCCCATACAGATGGCGCATGAATTACATTCGCCTTCGAGATAAACGTGTTTTTTGGTTCGTGATAACAAAGAAAGTTCGACCACAATGAAATGCATCCGAGATAAACGTAGTTTTTACGTTCGTAATAACAAAGAAATTTCAGTCGAAATGAAAGTCTTCTTTAAGTTTTATATTATATGTTAAAATAATGTTTCAACACAATGGAACGTATGAAAATTATCTGGAGGAAAGTACTGCATTTGGAAGAGAATATTTTGACGTTAAAATTGAAATGACATCATACAGTTAATATCACCATGCTGTTTCTAAAAATAGAAGCATCAAGTTAATATCACAAATCACCGACCCCCACGTGACCATGATCCAACCAATGACGACGTAGGGAACATGCGTAACATCGAATACAGATTTATAACACGCTTACACGCGTGACATCGAATACCGATTTATAACACGCTAACACGCGGGACATCGAATACAGTTTTATAACACGCTAACATGCGTTACATCGAATAACGATTTATAACACGCTAAAATGCGTTACATCGAATACCGATTTATAACACGCTAAAATGCGTTTCATCGAATACCGATTTATAACACGCTAACACGCGGGACATCGAATACAGTTTTATAACACGCTAACATTCGTTACATCGAATACAGATTTATAACACGCTAAATATCACAAATCACCGACCCCCACGTGACCATGATCCAACCAATGACGACGTAGGGAACATGCGTAACATCGAATACAGATTTATAATACGCTAACATGGGTAACATCGAATACAGATTTATAACACGCGAACACGCGTAACATCGAATACAGATTTATAAAACGCTAACACGCGTAACATCGAATACAGATTTACGACATGCTAACATGCGTAACATCGAATACAGATTTGTGACACGCTAACATGCGTAACATCGAATACAGGTTTATAACACGCTAACACGCGTAACATCGAATGCAGATTTACAACATGCTAACATGCGTAACATCGAGTACAGATTTATAACACGCTAACATGCGTTATTCGATTTTCAGTCCTCTAACACGCGCAACATCGAATACAGATTTATAACACGCTAACTTGCGTAACATCGAATACAGATTTATAACATGCTAACATGCGTAACATCGAATACAGATTTGTAACACGCTAACATGCGTAGCATCGAATACAGATTTATAACACGCTAAATATCACAAATCACCGACCCCCACGTGACCATGATCCAACCAATGACGACGTAGGGAACATGCGTAACATCGAATACAGATTTATAACATGCTAACATGCGTAACATCGAATACAGGTTTATAACACGCTAACACGCGTAACATCGTATACACATTTATAACACGCTAACACGCGTAACATCGAACACAGATTTATAACACGCTTACACGCGTGACATCGAATACCGATTTATAACACGCTAAAATGCGTTTCATCGAATACCGATTTATAACACGCTAACACGCGGGACATCGAATACAGTTTTATAACACGCTAACATGCGTTACATCGAATACAGATTTATAACACGCTAATATGCGTGACAACGAATACAGATTTAGGAGATGCTAACATGCGTAACATCGAATACAGATTTATAATACGCTAACATGGGTAACATCGAATACAGATTTATAACACGCTAAATATCACAAATCACCGACCCCCACGTGACCATGATCCAACCAATGACGACGTAGGGAACATGCGTAACATCGAACACAGATTTATAACACGCTAACACACGTAACATCGAATACAGATTTATAACACGCCAACACGCGTAACATCGAATACAGATGTATAACACGCTAACATGCGTAACATCGAATACAGGTTTATAACACGCTAACACGCGTAACATCGTATACACATTTATAACACGCTAACACGCGTAACATCGAACACAGATTTATAACACGCTTACACGCGTGACATCGAATACCGATTTATAACACGCTAAAATGCGTTTCATCGAATACCGATTTATAACACGCTAACACGCGTAACATAGAATACAGATTTATAACACGCTAACACGCATAACATCGAATACAGATTTATAACACGCTAAATATCACAAATCACCGACCCCCACGTGACCATGATCCAACCAATGACGACGTAGGGAACATGCGTAACATCGAATACAGATTTATAATACGCTAACATGGGTAACATCGAATACAGATTTATAACACGCGAACACGCGTAACATCGAATACAGATTTATAAAACGCTAACACGCGTAACATCGAATACAGATTTGTAACACGCTAACACGCGTAACATCGAATACAGGTTTATAACACGCTAACACGCGTAACATCGACTACAGATTTACAACATGCTAACATGCGTAACTTCGAATACAGATTTGTAACACGCTAACATGCGTAACATCGAATAAAGATTTATAACACGCTAACATGCGTAACATGGAATACAGATTTATAACACGCTAACATGGTTAACATCGAATACAGATTTATAACACGCTTACCCGCGTGACGTCGAATACCGATTTATAACACGCTAACACGCGGGACATCGAATACAGTTTTATAACACGCTAACATTCGTTACATCGAATACAGATTTATAACACGCTAACTTGCGTAACATCGAATACAGATTTATAACACCTAACATGGGTAACATCGAATACAGATTTATAACACGCTTACACGCGTTACATCGAATACCGATTTATAACACGCTAACACGCGTAACATAGAATACAGATTTATAACACGCTAACACGCGTGACATCGAATACAGATTTATAACACGCCAACACGCGTAACATCGAATACAGATGTATAACACGCTAAGATGCGTAACATCGAATACAGATTTATAACATGCTAACATGCGTAACATCGAATACAGATTTATAATACGCTAACATGGGTAACATCGAATACAGATTTATAACACGCCAACACGCGTGACATCGAATACGGATGTATAACACGCTAACATGCGTAACATCGAGTACAGATTTATAACACGCTAACATGCGTTACATCGAATAACGATTTATAACACGCTAAAATGCGTTACATCGAATACCGATTTATAACACGCTAAAATGCGTTACATCGAATACCGATTTATAACACGCTAACACGCGGGACATCGAATACAGTTTTATAACACGCTAACATTCGTTACATCGAATACAGATTTATAACACGCTAACATGGGTAACATCGAATACAGATTTATAACACGCCAACACGCGTGACATCGAATACAGATGTATAACACGCTAACATGCGTAACATCGAATACAGATTTATAACACGCTAACATGCGTTATTCGATTTTCAGTCCTGTTCAGAACTACAGGTCTAAAACAGAATAGAGTTTAATACTTAACTCATCGAACTTGGTCATGGCATTGCGTTGCAGGGGTGTTACATTCTTTATAGTTTCAAACTTGATTTTGTGCTGTGTTACAAGTTCTGTGGTTGTTTGATAGAAGTACGAGCCCCGGCCGCTCGTGTGGTGTGTAAGTAACTCTCCCTCGTTCATTCTTGCATGTACATTGAAAAATCCAGATTCGATCCCTATGTAATCTCGTGACCTTGATAATGTAATGTTGCTTGGGCGATAAACATTTATAAACTTGATACTTTGGTTTTCGTAAGAAAGTAATAATTTGATCGATATGCAGTAATTGTATCACGTGATGAAAATATCATGTTCTGTGAAGACATGGTCCGCAACGATGGACGGTTAGTTATCATTCGTACACGGGCCGCGGATGTTGCTGGCAACACCTTACTTCCGGTACTTGTGTTTGGTCACATCCGTTGTATAAATGTTTGGTTGTTTTGAGGATCGTGGTGTTGCTTAGATGTACCACGACATTAACACACTATACGTGTATATTTGTGTTATGTATGTTTCATTACCAGTGTTTGTAACTTTACGCTTTTATATTTAACTGACGTCTTCGTTTTTCAGGAATATGGTTTGACTACGAAAACGTACCGAATGACCTTTCTTCTATACAGAGCTATCGCCCCGAGGACATCGAAGACGACGATACAAGTAGGTTATACATGGTAGCAGAGTGCGCATGCGCATTGATGTATGGAATATACGCGTAATTGCTACATGTATTTGGAGATCGAGAAGCGAGGTTTTAAGGATTAGCACAAATAGTATTCTGAGTTGGTATGCTGGACATTTTGTTGTGGTAGTACGTGTGTACGTCATCAGATAGTCTAGGTCCTATGACAACGGTTACTACTGACAACAATATGGCCCTAAAGGGTCAGTTTATAGTGTCATGCTACTGTATAAATTAATACGCCTTGGGAACGATTATCATGCACAATTCATGTTTTCTTATTTTGGACAATCAATAGAACTCACCGAACATAGCAACAGGCAAAATGGTATTAACCTATGTCAGCGTATGGCAGCTGTAACTGTCGGCGTATGGCGGGGGGAACTGTCGGCGTATGGGGGGGGGAACTGTCGGCGTATGGCAGGGGTAACTGTCGTTGGCGTATGGCAGGGGTAACTGTCGATGTATGGCAGGTGTAACTGTCGACGTATGGCAGATATAACTATGCGTATGGCGGGTGTAACTGTCGACGTATGGCAGATATAACTATGCGTATGGCGGGTGTAACTGTCGGCGTATGGTGGGTGTAACTGTCGGCGTATGGCGGATGTAACTGTCGGCGTATGGTGGGTGTAACTGTCGGCGTATGGCAGGTGTAACTGTCGTTGGCGTATGGCAGGTGTAACTGTCGATGTATGGCAGGTGTAACTGTCGACGTATGGCAGATATAACTATGCGTATGGCGGGTGTAACTGTCGGCGTATGGCGGGTGTAACTATCGACGTATGGCAGGTGTAACTGTCGGCGTATGGCGGGTGTAAGTGTCGGCGTATGGCAGGTGTAACTGTCGGCGTATGGCGGGTGTAACTGTCGGCATATGGCAGGTGTAACTGTCGACGTATGGCAGGTGTAACTATGCGTATGGCGGGTGTAACTGTCGGCGTATGGCAGATATAACTATGCGTATGGCGGGTGTAACTGTCGGCGTATGGCAGATGTAACTATGCGTATGGCGGGGGTAACTGTCGGCGTATGGCAGATGTAACTATGCGTATGGCGGGGGTAACTGTCGACGTATGGCAGATGTAACTATGCGTATGGCGGGGGTAACTGTCGGCGTATGGCAGATGTAACTATGCGTATGGCGGGTGTAACTGTCGACGTATGGCAGATGTAACTATGCGTATGGCAGGTGTAACTGTCGACGTATGGCGAGTGTAACTGTCGGCGTATGGTGGGTGTAACTGTCGGCGTATGGCGGGTGTAACTGTCGACGTATGGCAGATGTAACTATGCGTATGGCGGGGGTAACTGTCGGCGTATGGCAGATGTAACTATGCGTATGGCGGGGGTAACTGTCGGCGTATGGCAGATGTAACTATGCGTATGGCGGGTGTAACTGTCGACGTATGGCAGATGTAACTATGCGTATGGCGGGGGTAACTGTCGACGTATGGCAGATGTAACTATGCGTATGGCAGGTGTAACTGTCGACGTATGGCGAGTGTAACTGTCGGCGTATGGTGGGTGTAACTGTCGGCGTATGGCAGGTGTAACTGTCGGCGTATGGCGGGTGTAACTGTCGGCGTATGGCAGGTGTAACTGTCGACGTATGACGAGTGTAACTGTCGGCGTATGGTGGGTGTAACTGTCGGCGTATGGCGGGTGTAACTGTCGACGTATGGCGGGCGTAACTCTATTGGTATCGATGGTGTAGCTATGAGCATTACATTGATACAACTACGCGCGTTATCATCGACATTGCGGACAAGTGCGCGTGAGCTCGACATGTCGATCATGGTCAATCAAGCGTTACGTACTGTGATAGTGTTTCCGGCCCCATTTAAAACCATGTACGTTGGCAAAAAAACGTTTGTGCCGTGCTTTGAAACTGGAGCTTTTAATACCCAACCGAATTTCGTGTCGTTTTTTTTCTGAGAGATTTAACTAATTTTGTGGTAGAATTTCAGATATTATGAGTGTCCTTAGGTTTATTTCGGTCAAATCTGAGAGAAACCTGATATTTTAATATCCACACCACACGGAACTTTCTGTCACTTTATTCTGAGGAACTGAACACTGTTTGACTTCCGTTTATCATATTTTCCTTTATGTAAAACATTTTGAGAACACGAAAAGTCATGGCGAACACGGGGCATTGCACACGAAGCGTTGTAAGTAAACGAAAACCGACAAAGGTCAAAAACGCAATATTGCTTTAAGAAATGGTTATGTTACATGTACATAAAAAGAAAATAAGTTCAACGAACTGCACAGATTTTATATATAAAATTGGATCTTTAAGCTTTCAGGGCAATTTTGATTTAAATGGACGCTTATTTTCTTTTTTGTCATTTTTGTTATATAATTGGTTAAACGGCTAATATTCACTCCTTACGGTACAGACTTACAGACATTTAAATTTGAATGTCATATATCAAGGTGTCTAATCACTCCAGTCGGACTGATTGAAATGGCGTTAACTTATCTATTGATAATGGTATATGCTTTACTGATCAGATTACAAACTTTAAAACAAAGTTGTCTCTAATGCCTTCAAGATAAAACATTTGCTTCAAACAAGTACTGGTAGATGAACGTTCGTCTTTAAATGTAGAATAGTCTTTTCTTATCAAAGCCAGACCCACTATGGGGAGTTTTAGAATGATTTAGTTCTTTTAATATTTGCTTATTCTTTTGTTTTTCTTGTGTAAAAATACTTTGAATGCCGTGAGAATACAGTCTAAGTTTCGCGTGAATCAATAGGAATAAGAAAAGGGCCAGCAGTACTGCAGCGAGCGAACTCCCGATCTTGACAAAGACTACTCATTACCGGTGTTGTCATCCAATAATACAAATGCAATGCATTAAAACACGTGTGTCCAATGTATTGGTCGCAAATCCTACAAAAACAAACAAAAACAACAAAAATAAACATTGAAAGATACATTACTTTAAAGGGGAAGTTACTCTAAGGCAGGAAAACTAATTTTGGCTTTTTCATGTTCTAAAAAGAAGGGAAAATACTTTAAGGCATGTAGAAAATCCGACTGAAAATCTTCTTCGACATTATAACTGATACAATTGTACACCATGGTCAATTTTTGAAATCCCCAGCTTTAGTATATTGTCTGTTTAACAAGACCTAGTATATTGTCTGTGTTATCTAGACCTAGTTTATTGTCTGTGTTAACTAGACCTAGTATATTGTCTGTGTTAACTAAACCTAGTATATTGTCTGTGTTAACTGGACCTAGTATATTGTCTGTGTTTACTAAACCTAGTATATTGTCTGTGTTAACTAGACCTAGTATATTGTCTGTATTAACTAAACCTAGTATATGTTCTGTGTTAACTAAACCTAGTATATTGTCTGTGTTAACTAAACCTAGTTTATTGTCTGTGTTTACTAAACCTAGTATATTTTCTGTGTTAACTAGACCTAGTATATTGTCTGTGTTAACTAAACCTAGTATATGTTCTGTGTTAACTAAACCTAGTATATGTTCTGTGTTAACTAAACCTAGTACATTGTCTGTGTTAACTAAACCTAGTTTATTGTCTGTGTTTACTAAACCTAGTATATTTTCTGTGTTAACTAGACCTAGTATATTGTCTGTGTTAACTAAACCTAGTATATGTTCTGTGTTAACTAAACCTAGTATATGTTCTGTGTTAACTAAACCTAGTACATTGTCTGTGTTAACTAAACCTAGTATATTGTCTGTGTTAACTAAACCTAGTATATGTTCTGTGTTAACTAAACCTAGTATATGTTCTGTGTTAACTAAACCTAGTACATTGTCTGTGTTAACTAAACCTAGTATATTGTCTGTGTTAACTAAACCTAGTATATGTTCTGTGTTAACTAAACCTAGTATATTGTCTGTGTTAACTAAACCTAGTATATTGTCTGTGTTAACTAAACCTAGTATATTTTCTGTGTTAACTAAACCTAGTATATTGTCTGTGTTAACTAAACCTAGTATATTGTCTGTGTTAACTAAACCTAGTATATGTTCTGTGTTAACTAAACCTAGTATATGTTCTGTGTTAACTAAACCTAGTACATTGTCTGTGTTAACTAAACCTAGTATATTGTCTGTGTTAACTAGACCTAGTATATGTTCTGTGTTAACTAAACCTAGTATATTGTCTGTGTTAACTAAACCTAGTATATTGTCTGTGTTAACTAAACCTAGTATATTGTCTGTGTTAACTAAACCTAGTATATTGTCTGTGTTAACTAAACCTAGTATATTGTCTGTGTTAACTAAACCTAGTATATTGTCTGTGTTAACTAAACCTAGTATATTGTCTGTGTTAACTAAACCTAGTATATTGTCTGTGTTAACTAAACCTAGTATATTGTCTGTGTTAACTAAACCTAGTATATTGTCTGTGTTAACTAAACCTAGTATATTGTCTGTGTTAACTAAACCTAGTATATTGTCTGTGTTAACTAAACCTAGTATATTTTCTGTGTTAACTAAACCTAGTATATTGTCTGTGTTAACTAAACCTAGTATATGTTCTGTGTTAACTAAACCTAGTATATGTTCTGTGTTAACTAAACCTAGTACATTGTCTGTGTTAACTAAACCTAGTATATTTTCTGTGTTAACTAAACCTAGTATATTGTCCGTGTTAACTAGACCTAGTTTATTGTCTGTGTTAACTAGACCTAGTTTATTGTCTGTGTTAACTAAACCTAGTTTATTGTCTGTGTTAACTAAACCTAGTATATTGTCTGTGTTAACTAGACCTAGTTTATTGTCTGTGTTAACTATACCTAGTATATTTTCTGTGTTAACTAAACCTAGTACATTGTCTGTGTAAACTAAATCTAGTATATTTTCTGTGTAAACTAAACCTAGTATATTGTCTGTGTTAACTAGACTTAGTTTATTGTCTGTGTTAACTAAACCTAGTATATTTTCTGTGTGAACTAAACCTAGTATATTGCCTGTGTTAACTAAACCTAGTATATTTTCTGTGTTAACTAAACCTAGTATATTGTCTGTGTTAACTAAACCTAGTATATTGTCTGTGTTAACTATACCTAGTATATGTTCTGTGTTAACTATACCTAGTTTATTTTCTGTGTAAACTAAACCTAGTATATTGTCTGTGTTAACTAGACCTAGTTTATTGTCTGTGTTAACTATACCTAGTATATTTTCTGTGTTAACTAAACCTAGTACATTGCCTGTGTAAACTAAATCTAGTATATTTTCTGTCTAAACTAAACCTAGTATATTGTCTGTGTTATCTAGACCTAGTTTATTGTCTGTGTTAACTAGACCTAGTATATTGTCTGTGTTAACTAAACCTAGTATATTGTCTGTGTTAACTAAACCTAGTATATTGCCTGTGTTAACTAAACGTAGTATATTTTCTGTGTTAACTAAACCTAGTATATTGTCTGTGTTAACTAAACCTAGTATATTGTCTGTGTTAACTATACCTAGTATATGTTCTGTGTTAACTATACCTAGTTTATTTTCTGTGTAAACTAAACCTAGTATATTGTCTGTGTTAACTAGACCTAGTTTATTGTCTGTGTTAACTATACCTAGTATATTTTCTGTGTTAACTAAACCTAGTACATTGCCTGTGTAAACTAAATCTAGTATATTTTCTGTCTAAACTAAACCTAGTATATTGTCTGTGTTAACTAGACTTAGTTTATTGTCTGTGTTAACTAAACCTAGTATATTTTCTGTGTTAACTAAACCTAGTATATTGCCTGTGTTAACTAAACCTAGTATATTGTCTGTGTTAACTAAACCTAGTATATTGTCTGTGTTAACTAAACCTAGTATATTGTCTGTGTTAACTAAACCTAGTATATTGTCTGTGTTAACTAAACCTAGTATATTGTCTGTGTTAACTAAACCTAGTATATTGTCTGTGTTAACTAAACCTAGTATATTGTCTGTGTTAACTAAACCTAGTATATTGTCTGTGTTAACTAAACCTAGTATATTGTCTGTGTTAACTAAACCTAGTATATTTTCTGTGTTAACTAGACCTAGTTTATTTTCTGTGTCAACTAAACCTAGTATATTTTCTGTGTAAACTAAACCTAGTATATTGTCTGTGTTCACTAGACATAGTATATTGTCTGTGTTAATTAAACCTCGTATATTGTCTGTGTTAACTAAACCTAGTAAATTGTCTGTGTTAACTAGACCTCGTTTATTTTCTGTGTCAACTATACCTAGTATATTTTCTGTGTAAACTAAACCTAGTATATTGTCTGTATTAACTAGACCTAGTTTATTTTCTGTGTCAACTATACCTAGTATATTTTCTGTGTAAACTAAACCTAGTATATTGTATGTGTTAACTAAACCTAGTAAATTGTCTGTGTTAACTAGACCTAGATTATTGTCTGTGTTAACTATACCTAGTTTATTGTCTGTGTGAACTATACCTAGTTTATTGTCTGTGTTAACTAGTCCTAGTTTATTGTCTGTGTGAACTATACCTAGTTTATTGTCTGTGTTAGCTATACCTAGTATATTGTCTGTGTTAACTAGACCTCGTTTATTTTCTGTGTCAACTATACCTAGTATATTTTCTGTGTAAACTAAACCTAGTATATTGTCTGTATTAACTAGACCTAGTTTATTTTCTGTGTTAACTAAACCTAGTTTATTGTCTGTGTTAACTATACCTAGTTTATTTTCTGTGTTAACTAAACCTGTATCAAGAGACCGCTTCACGGTCTTCCCGTTGGTGTTTTTTTTGTAACGTTTGATTATACTTTCAGTTACTAACGTCATTGTTTTTAATTAACTAGTTGACAATTTTAAGTGGGCATACATTTCATCTGAGAGGATTTTGAGCAATTTCTGAAAATTTAGTGACAAGAATCCGAAAATATAACATTTTATTGTTTGACAGAAGACCGGGTTACGTGAGCAGTCTGTTAATGTTCGTTGTTGTATATGCCATCTGGGGACGAGTAATTGGAAAACCTTTTTTGTAACATGTAACCTGAAAAATACCCCTGAAGACAAACAAAATAGTTTCTTAATAACTTCATCATTTATTTTTCAGTTCTCGTGAACACGTCAGTAGCAGATGACCTTGTCCAAAAGGTCAAGATATTTTGTTTCATCGCCACGACGTCGGATAACCTACTGACGAAGGCCAAAGCTGTTAACGATACGTGGGGGAAAAGGTGTGACAAGATTCTCTTTGTGACGTCATCGCCGTCAAAGTTATCCATGACGATTTCGTTTAACATTCAGGATTCGAGGAGTCACCTAACGGGAAAGACGATGTCAATGATCAATTATATTTATAGACATCATGTAAATAATTACCAGTGGTTTATGAAGGCGGACGATGATACTTATGTTGTCATGGAAAATCTCAAACTTCTTTTGTCAAAATGTGACGCTAAGAAACCAATATATCTCGGTCACCATTTAAAAATGCATTTAAAACAAGGCTACATGAGCGGTGGCGCCGGATACATCATGAGTCAGTCGGCACTGCGCATGCTCGTGGAGGACGGTCTGGATCAAGGCCTCTGCAAGCGAGACGGGAACGACGAGGATGTGGACGTCGGGCGCTGTCTGGAGACAGTAGGAGTCAAGCCCTACTCTACGACAGACAAATTCGGACGGGAGACGTTTCACGCCTTCAGTATATTAAATTATATTATAGGACCTGTTCCGGTGTTTCTACTTCAGTACCCTCATAAACCAGCTAGATCGGTACGTACATCTTACTTATCTAGTGGACGATTTCGGAAACGCCAAATCATCTGAAAGTCTTATCATGATGCAAAAATCATTTGAATAAAGGAGAAATAAATGTTAGCTCATTAATATCTGTTGTCAGGGCCAACATATACCAATGAGCTAACATGGCGGACACTTGAAACGTCACATTGACGTTTAATAAATTTTGTTTTTATTAAAGTTTTGTTAATAACACTGACGTCTTTGAAATCATTTACTAGAGTATTGATTGTCTTAACTGAAGCATATACTGCGGTTATCTGATGTTTGTGGTATATGTTTCCACACTAATTCGCGCATGAATATTAATACAGAATACCGCAAAATGTCAGACACACTGATATTAAAGCCGTTTTGGTCTCTGGAGTATAACATATAGAATACCATTTGTATTTATCACCTATTTGTTTACCGGTATATTGTATCTGTATTCTGACCTCGTGCTGTATCCTATCTCTGTATGTGTGTATTTATATATAGTGTATGACGTGTGTTCTCTCCATGTTTATTAGGGCAAGAACTGCTGTAGTCAACTGCCAATCACATTCCACTACACCACGCCCAAAATGATGTACATCACCGAGTACTTCCTGTACCGGACAGCGGTCTACGGGAGACAACTCGCGAATATTGACGATGACTTCTTCAAAGAGGCGGTATCGCGCCTCGACAAGGATCCGGGTTCGGTATTTCTGCCGTACGGACAATCTGGGATCTCGGTGGTGGACACTAAATCAAACAAACAAAATGGCGGATGAATTTCTGATTCGTGAAGCATAGATGGGATGAATTTCGACCTCCAGAGATTAGCGAAGTGCTCCCGAAAGGAATGTGTCATGTGATATTTCCGCAATATTTGTGTTCCACGCATTGATATTTAAAAGGGCAGATGGTCGCTTTAAGAAATATCTGGTAATCTAATTATCAGGAAAAAAATATCCGCTGAGACAATCTACGGTGGTAAATGCCATGAGATGACCCACCACAGTGCAGTTAAATCGGGTACTCGGACCGTCAATATACAGATATAGTGCTGAAACATCATACTTTGTGTAAGACTCAATTCACTGTGTGGAAAACCTCCCTAGGGAGTGAAACAGATTGAAGAAATCCCGTCACCGACGGTCATCTACATCTTTAACTTTGTCCTTTCTCATATTGAGCAAGATTTCACTGATTTCGTGTAATTTCTTAACATTTTCTTCAGGTTGGTAATTATGGATTATGAAAAATGTCTTGTTACACAACCTATACGTGTTTTTATGTGACGTTTCGACTACTAGTACGGTTTGTACTCTGTCATCATCATCAGACAAATGACCAGTGAAGCCTATACACACAAAGGTGTAAAATGTGACTTGTAGACAACTCTTATTAGTGAACTTCATATCTGTCATGATAACGAGAGTTCAACGGTATAACACGAGAAGAAAAGAATTTGTGAAGTTGTGTAGGCAGTATTTATGACGTCGCACCAGTTGTGCAATATTTTTAACATGTCACACTTGATGAGCACACCCGGCGATGACGTCAGACGTCTTGTGAACTCCTGAAAATAACAATAGCTGGTCATTTGCTTCTAAAGTATGACAAGCTATATAACATTTATACCGTTGTTCATGTTTACAGGTGATTTATATCAATATGCTGCTATCCTGTATTCTTCATTGGGTAACGTTATATTCGATTTTGTTTATGTCATTTGCGTTCACTGCTCTATGTGTGTGTTTAGTTTACGAGGTCTGTAAGTCTGCTTAGACTAATGATGCCACTTTTTACATTGGATCACATATCTGTAACTCATTCAGCCCTAACATGTCATAATACATTTTTCCAACCTTTGAATTGGAAGAGTTCAAATGTGTCTTTAGGGGTGAATGAGTTAAGTAGTTTTGTCTATAGTGACAGAAATTTTAAGTAATGTCACTTATTTATTTATTTTCTATATTGAATCTGAAGCAATATTTTTTACCAATTCTGTCTGTATTGACGCTAGATCTGTATATGTCTTAGGTTATCTTTGTCTATTGTAAGGCTGGACCTATGTCTTAGGTTATCTTTGTCTATTGTAAGGCTGGACCTATGTCTTAGGTTATCTTTGTCTATTGTAAGGCTGGACCTATGTCTTAGGTTATCTTTGTCTATTGTAAGGCTGGACCTATGTCTTAGGTTATCTTTGTCTATTGTAAGGCTGGACCTATGTCTTAGGTTATCTTTGTCTATTGTAAGGCTGGACCTATGTCTTAGGTTATCTTTGTCTATTGTAAGGCTGGACCTATGTCTTAGGTTATCTTTGTCTATTGTAAGGCTGGACCTATGTCTTAGGTTATCTTTGTCTATTGTAAGGCTGGACCTATGTCTTAGGTTATCTTTGTCTATTGTAAGGCTGGACCTATGTCTTAGGTTATCTTTGTCTATTGTAAGGCTGGACCTATGTCTTAGGTTATCTTTGTCTATTGTAAGGCTGGACCTATGTCTTAGGTTATCTTTGTCTATTGTAAGGCTGGACCTATGTCTTAGGTTATCTTTGTCTATTGTAAGGCTGGACCTATGTCTTAGGTTATCTTTGTCTATTGTAAGGCTGGACCTATGTCTTAGGTTATCTTTGTCTATTGTAAGGCTGGACCTATGTCTTAGGTTATCTTTGTCTATTGTAAGGCTGGACCTATGTCTTAGGTTATCTTTGTCTATTGTAAGGCTGGACCTATGTCTTAGGTTATCTTTGTCTATTGTAAGGCTGGACCTATGTCTTAGGTTATCTTTGTCTATTGTAAGGCTGGGCCTATGTCTTAAACCCTTTCATCACTGTAGACTATAATGGGCTCATCCAAAGCATTGCCTGGTAGAGTTCACTTAAGTTACATAGGGGTGAAAGGGTTAAAGATGTTGGTCTACCTTGAGGCTGGACTTATAACATACTGGTTGATAATTAAGGTGATTTTTTGTTCAAACGACACAATTGTTTATTATTGTGAAAGTGTTCATGCCTGATATTCCTCTTAAATGAGAGTGACCTCATAATTCTTTTACAAAATAGTATTACTATTCACATACATTTATATATATACATGTATATGAATAAAGGATCAATGTTTATCCGTCTACCTATTACAATATCATGCTGTATTTTCTATGTTTGGGTGCATGGCATTTACAATGTATACAACCTCGTTGATAACTATCTTTTTGATTTTTAAAACAAACCAATCTAGACATTTTGGTTGCGTGGAGCTAAGATGAATTAAACTAGACTGGCATGAACTGTTATGTATAGTCGGAACGTATCGAAGACCATTTTAGCAAGTATGGGCAAGTATTAGTGAAAATGCATCATCAGCAAACTTTCCAAGATGACGTCATGAACTATGTGACGTCATTAATTAACGATGATACAATCATATTACACCAGTTATGTCGACAAAATGTCTTTTGATAAATCGATATTCCACTGAAATATGGAGCCAATGCTCAAGTTGTCATTATTCCGTCTTATCATTCTCTTGTGAGCAGGTATCTATTGTTATGTCATTGGTTTGTGAGAGTAACGTCATCAATATTTGAGAAAACGATGTAATTTTCTCACACAAACCAATGACGTAACAATCAGTACCTGCTCACAAGAGAAGATAACTCTGCAATACGCGAAGACGGAATATTGCAAGAAAGTGCTCAGGAAGCGACGATAAAAACGACCACGTGTATTTTGAAAATAACTTGCTTCATACTTGTTGTATAATACATTAAGGGTATTATCACGATTGGTTACTGACGATACTACATCGATCACAGTGTATGTCTGATGATACAATAGGACATCGATCACAATGTATGTCTGATGATACAATAGGACATCGATCACAGTGTATGTCTGATGATACAATAGGACATTGATCACAATGTATGTCTGATGATACAATAGGACATCGATCACAATGTATGTCTGATGTTACAATAGGACATTGATCACAGTGTATGTCTGATGATACAATAGGACATCGATCACAGTGTATGTCTGATGATACAATAGGACATTTTTCTTTTGATTCAATGTTATTGTGGTACTTTTCTTACCTTCCATACGACAGTATCACAACACTTTTGATCAAGATCTTTTTCGTTGATTTAATTTTATTGTGTTTTTTTAAGCCGCTCTTGGCGAGAGCCGAGCGGCTTATTAATTCTGTCCAGAGAACGAAATGACGGACCCACTTCCGTTCGGGGTGCGTGCGCATACTTCGGTGCATGCTTCCGCTATATAGTTTCGTTATCGCAAATAGAAAGTAGAATCTCTGACACTCACATGTGGGTTACATAAAGTCTTCTGATACTCCTCTCCAAATAATAATCCTTACTTTAAATAATTGCTGGAAAAAAAGTTTATCTCCGGTGCATTCTACGAGTGTTATGGTGGTGAAATTCGTGCACTAAGTTTGAGCGTTTTAGCAACTCTGTTTGCGGTCTGATGAGTGTTACGCGTGTGAAACACATATGATTCGAGAAAACACATGTGAAGACTGTCAAGCATTGACGCTGTCTGTAGAAGGAAGAAGTAAATATATATACTTATAAACCGTATGAGTGATGAAGTATACCCTCTATTTTGATGTTTGAAACGGGAACGTAATATGACATATCGTGCTTAGGTTGATAACGGTAATGGCTCGGAGACGAGACGATATGTGAACTGTGTATGCTTATCAAACATTTCTGTAACACAGCATGCTATTTCTGGTATATTGATTTATGAAAGTGTAACAATTTAAGAACATGACACAACAGCCGCTGCTGTTTGACAAGAATTGGCGCCGTGTCAAAATAATATCCAATTCGGTGTAAGGGAAATAACTCTTACGTTGTTAAAGATACATTGAGAAATATAATTCAAATATATTCGAAGAACATTTGTAAGATTTTGTATATTCAATGACGGTAAATATAGTCGCTACATATATCAATAATTATAATTAATATGAATAAAAAATAAATAAAAATAAAAGGAGTACAATGTCTCTTTTCTCCATGCATGTTTTCCCACTACTGTTAATTATCCTTCATTTCACAAGCACAAAATGCACCTATTCTTTATTATCCATTCACCGATTGCCATTCTGCACGTAAATGCTCATGTCACATCATTGGAGGATGCTAATTAATGAAAATTACAACAATGCATCACACCTAAAGAGGGTGAAAAAAGAGGAGAGGGAGAAATGTTTTTAAGGCATCATTTAAGTGGCGATTGATTTTGAAAATCCCAAAGGCAACATCATCACATGACCTGATTTTCAATTAGCAGAATACAGAACACATATATGAGGTATTATAGTAGATATTGATGCTCAATGTGTTACTGAAGCAATTAAATCTAAAGTGGTGAGCGGCTGTAATGTCATACTGACATAATTCTAGTTATAACCTACTATACCACAGTATGACAATATCTTTTCACTATACAGTATGATCAAGAAATAGCTCTTTGGATTCGATATTATTGCGGGACTTTTCCTACTTACCTACGACAGTATCGTGATATAATTTTAAACGCTATATAATCACGATAGCTTTGTGATGATCTCCTACTTTTCACGATATAAATCTCAAGAAACGGTAATATCACGATATCAGAATCACGAAACGGTTATATCACATACGTTTTCTGGTGATACGATAACATTAGGATGCTGTCCAACGATAAATGCAACTACATGTGTCTATTTCCCTCTCTATGAACAGGTCAAATCTCATGATATTTAACCAGACATGAAATGCGATTTGTAATTATCAAGCGTGAAAATCCTTTTAACGTGTTCTTAATATTAATAGAAATTTAACTTTATGCTTGGAATGAGAATTATTCTCTTATTGAAATGTTACAGCAGTGTCACATTGACAGCAATTGTGTATTTAATGAATTCCAAGCATCGCTGTCTAACGGTGGCACCGGGTACCGGTAGTCTAGTGGTAGAACGCCGGGCTCGTGACCGAAGGGTTGCGGGTTCGATTCACGTCAGTCATGGCACTGTGTTGTATCTTTGAGCCCTACTACGCTGCTTGTTCCAGTCTATTCAGCTGTCATTGAGTACGTGGCTGGGCAGTACTAAAATAATAAAATGCTAGCTGTGAGCGCCAAAATGGCAGCACCGGCTGTATGCTCCACAGGGAGTTGAAAAAGATATCGACTAGTAGCAAAGGGCCTATAACCACGGATAATAATGTGTAAACCGCTTTGAGACAACCTATGAACGGTATATAAGAACCTCGAATTATTATTAATATTATTATAACGATACTTTGTGGTGTGTATGGAGAATAGCTTTAGGTAAGTATCACGATATATCGTGGTATATCGATATATACATTGATCCTGTCAGCCCTGTTATTTACCCAAAAGGACTAAACAGAGTCATTTTGTCTTTACACTCATTATTAAGCATAAATGATATTTATATTGTAGTTTATATATAATTTTTAAGCGTTTCTTTTTTGGGGATATATTTCGTTTTATCGACATTTTTAACTACATCTCTCGCCAGTCCACTGGTAGATTGTGGCTGATGTTGCCCTCACACTTGATTGTGAAATTTCTTTGTAATAAAATAATTTTTTTATTTTACAAATCCATATAAGTGTTGATGTTATGAATTTGAAAGTTTTCAGAATGAGTTGTACTTGTTTTCCAAGCAATGTACTTTTCTTGAAGTGATGTTCCAGAATTTTACTGGTTTCTGATTGGTGGAGCAGCCAACACATTACTGTCAATATGATACGATGTCATAATATATACAATGACATATTATATACAATGACATACTATAAAAAATGTCATATAATATACAATGACATATTATATGACATATTATATACAATGTCATATTATATACAATGACATATTATATACAATGACATATTATATGATACATTGACATATCATATAATACAATGACATATAATATAAAACAATGACATATTATATAATACAATGTCATATTATATGATACAATGACATATTATATAATACAATGACATATTATATAATACAATGTCATATTATATGATACAATGACATATTATATGATACATGACATATTATATGATACATGTCATATTATATGATACAATGACATTTTATATGATACAATGTCATATTATATAATACAATGACATATTATATGATACAATGAAATATTATATGATACAATGACATATTATATGATACAATGACATATTATATGATACAATGACATATTATATAATACAATGACATATTATATAATACAATGACATATTATATAATACAATGACATATTATATGATACAATGACATATTATATGATACAATGACATATTATATGATACAATGACATATTATATAATACAATGACATATTATATAATACAATGACATATTATATGATACAATGACATATTATATGATACAATGACATATTATATGATACAATGACATATTATATAATACAATGACATATTATATAATACAATGACATATTATATGATACAATGACATATTATATGATACAATGACATATTATATGATACAATGACATATTATATAATACAATGACATATTATATAATACAATGACATATTATATGATACAATGACATATTATATGATACAATGACATATTATATGATACAATGACATATTATATAATACAATGACATATTATATAATACAATGACATATTATATGATACAATGACATATTATATGATACAATGACATATTATATGATACAATGACATATTATATAATACAATGACATATTATATAATACAATGTCATATTATATAATACAATGACATATTATATGATACAATGACATATTATATGATACAATGACATATTATATGATACAATGACATATTATATAATACAATGACATATTATATAATACAATGACATATTATATGATACAATGACATATTATATGATACAATGACATATTATATGATACAATGACATATTATATAATACAATGACATATTATATGATACAATGACATATTATATGATACAATGACATATTATATGATACAATGACATATTATATAATACAATGACATATTATATAATACAATGACATATTATATGATACAATGACATATTATATGATACAATGACATATTATATGATACAATGACATATTATATAATACAATGACATATTATATAATACAATGACATATTATATGATACAATGACATATTATATGATACAATGACATATTATATGATACAATGACATATTATATAATACAATGACATATTATATAATACAATGACATATTATATGATACAATGACATATTATATGATACAATGACATATTATATGATACAATGACATATTATATAATACAATGACATATTATATAATACAATGACATATTATATAATACAATGACATATTATATGATACAATGACATATTATATGATACAATGACATATTATATGATACAATGACATATTATATAATACAATGACATATTATATAATACAATGTCATATTATATGATACAATGACATATTATATGATACAATGACATATTATATG